TAGCATTTCACCGACAGGGACTAATAAGAGGAAAACCTTCTATGCTATGAGCCATCACAAACTTAGATGTTTCATTTTGTTCTCTATGTCCCAAGTGAATTCAGGGGAAAGCATGAAGTCACAAACTTTGTAGGGAACAGTAGGAAATGACAATCTGCAAAAGGCTGTCAGGCAAATCAGGAGAATTCAGTTTCCCAGACTGACAGTGTAGATCTGCAGTCCCCAAGCACAAGCGGGTGTGAGACTGAACGAGCAGAATCTTCCATCATGAGCTACTCTTCACAACTAATATTTGTTATTCTTCTGCACTTGAAGCCATCACAGAAATAAAGTAACAATACCGGGGGGAAAAAATATATGGGAGACAAAATTCTATTCATCTGTTACTTTTTTTTTTTTTGGGGGGGGGGAGGTGTGATCATAGGGCTTGAACTCTTGGATGGATAGTTATCCCTCAGCTCTTCAGCTCAAGGCGAGTGCTCTACCACTTCAGCCACAGAGCCTCTTCTGGTTTTCTGGTGGTTTACTGGAGATAGAGTCTCACAGACTTTCCTGCCCAGGCTGGCTTGAACTGTGATCCTCAGATCTCAGCCTCCTGAGTAGCTAGGATGACAGGCATGAGCCACCTGTGCCTGGCTCGTCCGTTAATTTTCATTTCCCTGCAAACTTGGATGGAGCCACCACAGTTCTTTTGTCTGTAGACCACTCCAATCTAGCTGTTTGGGGGGAGCATGATGTACAAACAATGGCTATAAAACTTGCCTTTCTTGCTTGAAAGATGCCTGCCCATTCTTTTACTTTCTGCAAAGGGGCAACTAACTGAGTTCTAAAAATCAAAGGGTATTTGTAAGAACCTTGAGCGCCCACACTCCCATGCAAGTTAAAGCAATAAGTGGATGTCCCCTTAAACAAGCATGATGACTCTCAAATACCGAAATGATTTGATTTTCACTGTTTTACCAAAAAAGTGGCTGATACAAGGGTCAAGTCCAAGTTTTACCTGAGTGCTGCTGAGAATACCCAAAGAGGTCAAATGACAAGGTAATGACAGCTAGCAGCTGGGCCAGCAGGCCTGCCCTGTGGAGGACTCCAACATTCGACCAGCACCTTCTCAGCCTGAGTCCTTTCCTGTCCTGCACGTGGAGTGACATGAAGGTGCACCCCAGAACCTACGTACTAGATGCCAGGAGCATCCCCCACCTCAGCTGTGACAGCATCTGCCTCCAGACAGACAAACGTCCTAGGGGTCAGGGGGGAGTGGGTGGAGAGGTACAAAAGTACCCTGGCTGAGAATCCAGGCTCTAAGACAACAGGAAATGGCTGCATAAAAGAGAAAGGATATGGGTGGCCACTCACAATTGGGGCACTCATCTCATTGCATTTCTGGGAAGTGAAAACCCAACTTTAACAGCCAACTAGCTGGTCCATATCACCGTGATCAGACATCAAGAAGGAACTTAATTGCAAAGCTTCTGTGGAGAAGTACTGGTAGCTAAGTCTTAAAATGATCAAACCAGAGAGAGTCAATCGACTTTCTATCCTCTGTCAACGCCAGCAACAAGGGTAGCTGCCTGGAGCTGTGAACTGAGCAGGACTCTGAGGCTGAATGTGAGGGGTACGGGTATAAATTATGAATACAGATCTGCCACCAGAAGGCATGGTAGGCTTCAGGTCCACCATTAACTCCTTTGTGCTCAATATAACATCCATCCAATTTAAAACACTTTTGTAAATTAAATACACATGCACGCACACACAGAGTCCTTTGCAATGCCATTAGGCTTATCTAATGGGCTGAAAAAAAGAAAAGCAAAAAAATCCTACCACTCTTCCTACTTAGAAATCAGCTCTAGATTTTTAAGTTCCAGAGGACAAAGTCCAAGCAGCCTCCAAAGCTTTCCCTTCCCCCAGGTGCTCGGTACCCCACAGCTCTCCACGCATAGCCAGCCACTCCGTGTCTCACTGTCTCCCCAAAATATCTTTCACACATCACCCCATCACTCCTCGGCCTAGCAGACTCCTATTCATCCCTCAGAGTGCTACTCAAGCATTTCCTCTCTCTGATGTTCAAAGTATAGTTCTTGGACCAGCAGCATATCACCCAGGGAACTTGCTAGAAATGCAGACATGGAGGCCCCACTCCAGCTCTTCTAAATCCAAATCTGCTTTGTAACAAGATCCCCATGTGAATTATGAATGTGAGTTGTGTGCACATAGAGTTCAATATGCACTGTCTACGGGAACGTGCCAAGTCCTAGATACCACTGTTCACAGCGGTTACAGTGTCTTCCCCAAGTCCCAGTGCCTGGCACAAGGCAAGGGAGGCACTTCAGTGGTATGCATAACAGGCCAGACCCTCCTTTACTTATGCCCTCTACTAAGGTAGGAACCTGAAACACCCCCTTCCTATCTCGGTGGCAGCCAGTTGTCATGGATGGAAGCAGGGCCTGCTCAGAGCCTCTGGGAGTACTTTATGTCCCTAATGACATCTGCCCTCCTGGGTAGAATGCAAGGTACCTCAGATGCCATCAGCAGGCAACCATGAGGTGACAAGCAGGAGAACAAGAGAGCAGAAACTGCAAGGGACATTAGGGTAGAAACACAGAATTGTACAGGACCACCCATCTCTCACTCACTGTTCAAGCTAACTCCACACTCCTAGCGGTCAGTCTCAGAGTCTTTCTCTTGTGTGACTACATTCCTAACCCACAGAGTAGGATGGATGGATGGATGGATGGATGGATGTTGGTGACAACTACTAAAAGCTCAGAAGATTCTATGAAGAAACAAGGCCTCTAAGAATTGTTCCAACTTTGCCAAAGTATAACTATAAAGTATCTGCACTTCTAAAACACATTGACCCATTTTTGTTCATGACTTAATGGACAAAAATGTGGACCCGTCATAAAAAGCAATGCAACTGACCTCTAAGAATCTATTCAACTTTGCCAAACATGTCTATCAATCAGCCCTGCCCTGTAGAATTATAAACCCATTTCTGCCCACAGTTTAATGGCTTGAAACATGAACACCATCTTGTGACTATATTAAGATGCTGTAGAAACTGCCTTTCACATTGTGAAAGAGTAGAAAACTGAACTTAACAGAGCTTTGGCCTTGAAAAGTTTGCAACTGCTGTGGCTTCTCTCAACCATAGTAAAGAAGGCGGAGAGGAGAGGGGGGGGGGGGGGGAAGGGGGAACAGAAGAAGACTTTCATAACCAGCAAGTTGCCACTCTTCTATTTTCTTACTTTGTGATCTCTGACCTGAGTCTCCTTTTCTCCAGTCCTTACTTCAGTCAGGAATTTTAGTCCAGCTGAGCACTTGTGGCTCATATCTGTAATCCTAATTACTCAGGAGGCTGAGATTTGAGGATCGAGGTTCAAAGCCAGCCCAACCAGGAAAGTCAGTGAGATTCTAATCGCCAATTAACCACAGAAAAAAACCAAAAGTGAAGCCATGGCTCAAGTGGTAGAGCACCAGCCTTAAGCAAAAAAGCTAAGGCACATTGTCCAGACCCTGAGTACAAACACACACACACACACATATACACACACACACATACATACATTGATACACACACACACACACACACACACACACACACACAGAATTTCCATTCAACTTTCAGGATGAAGCAGCTGCCATTTGCTTTCTTCTTGAGTACACAAAATACAAGTAAAAAACTATTCCAAGGAGGGGGTACTGTTCACTGGCAGTATCCCTCAGAGCTAAGAGGAACTAGAGCACTTGCATTTCTCTGCTAGACCACTGATCCTGCAATCCAATCATCTGTTCAATAAACGTATTCTACAAAGAAACTTGAGAACACCAATGGAAAGCCAGTTCCACTTGCTATAAATAGAAGACAAATGAAGAAACAAACTCAATAAGCACAGAGCTTATTAAATTTAGTTACTGTTGCTTACCCAAGCCTCTCTACCCAGGAAGCCTGCTTTCCCTTTGTTTATAAATGGGGGTGTAGGGATGAGCAAGAGGTGTTAGGAGGAGAATATCAGGCTGAGATTCTACTGGGCATGATCAGGATGGAAAAGGAACAGAAAGGAAGTGATTTCTCACCATGTGACTTTATTCTAATACCACATCCACATCTCACCTGTGCAGTCTCCAACTGCTTTTTGTTTCTGGCCTAATTCCGTGGTGCAGCCAAAAGGCTCTTCATCCATCTAGGTCCCACCTCCCAACCTCACCCTCTCAAACCCTTGCAGCTACACCAATGCAGCCATTCTTCAATTTAAAGAGGCCAGCCAGCAGCACATGAGTGCCATCAGCAGGTTTTGCTTGCTTTAAAGTACTGCGGATATACCTGCTCCCTTTCCTCAAGTGCTAAATAGAGAAAAAAGTAAAATGGCAATAAATGCTCATTGTACCAGGAGCTATTAGAGAGGTGCTTTGCCTATCAGATTGGACCCTAAAAAAAGTGTCCATCAGCAAAGCAGAAAAGAGTCAAAACCAGGCAACTTTTAACATATCCACTTGTTTGCTATGAAGCAGACAGCAGATGGAGTAAAGGACACTGGGAGGCTGAGTAAACTTGCCCTGGGTTCCACCGCTACTAAGTAACAGAACCCAGGATTTGAACCCAGATCCCGACGGCAAGTTCCACGCAGGCAGGGTCTTGCTCTCTGCCACACCCCTCCCAGATGCTTATCCGAGGACTGGGGAAAGGATGCAAACAGACGCTCAATAATTGAGGGGGAGGGAGGGAAAGGAAGAGGGAGGAAGGGAGGGAGGAATGGCTGCGTGGATGGAGCCACGCGTGCATGCACAGATGCACGGAACCACGCATGCATGCGTGCATGCATGGATGCACGGATGGGCACGGGAACGGAGAGAAGGCGCCTCCTCCAATGGTCAGGGCTAGCCAGCATCCCCACACCCAAGGCCCGGGCGTCTCGGCGCATCCGAGGCAACTGGCGAGATCCAGGACGGACGGCAAGCTCGGGCGGGGCAGATCGGGGGGGGGGGGGGGGGCTCACCTTGAAGTCGCGGCTGTGCTGCGGGGTGTACTCTAGGGTCCAAAGAGCCCGCACCAGGTGCGCCAGCTGCTCGGTGACCTCGCCTTGGCCCTGACCCTGGCCGCCGCGGCCGGCGGCGGGAGGCTGGGGCTCGGGCTGGGGCTGGGCTTCGGGCTCCGGGCGGCCCGCGCGGTACTGGCCGAGCGCCAGGTACTCGGCGAAGAGCTCGGTGTTGCTGAGGCACTGCAGCGTGGCGTTCATGAAGCACGTGTTGCCGTGGTTGCGGAGCCCCGCCACGCCGGGCACGGGCTCCGAGGCGCAAGCGGGCGGCGCGGCGGGCGCGGCGGGCGGCGGCGGGCAGGGCGGCGGCGCGGGCGCGGCGGCGGGCGGGAAGCAGCTGCGGAGGCCGCCGCGCTCGGGGCCGGCGCCCTCGGAGCTCAGGTGCGACAGCGTCGACAGCGTCTTGAGGACGCGGCTCATGAAGCTGCCGACCGAGCGCGCCGAGGAGGGCGCGGCCGGCCCGGGGCCCCCCGCCCCGCCGCCGCCGCCGCCGCCGCCGCCGCCCGCGCGGCCGCTCCGGAACAGCCGCTTGCTGAACGAGCGCTTCTCCTTCCCGCCCGCCGCCGCCGGCGGCCCGGGCCCCGGCGCCGTTACCTTGGACATGGCGGCGGCTACCGACGCTCATCACCGTGCTCGGCCGCCCGGCCCGCGGCCCCGCCACGGCCGCCGCCACATCCCGCCGCCCCGCGCGCTCACCCGGGCCCGGGGAAGTGGGGAGGGGAAGGCTCGCCGCTCCTCCTCCTCCACACACCTCGGAACGCCGCCCGCCGAGCCGGCCCGCGAGCGAACAGGCGGAGCGGCGGCCGCGCGCGCCCGCGCGCGTTCGGCCCAGCTGGGCCGCTCACGTGACCGCCTCCCAGCGCCGCCCGCCCCGCGCTGAAGCCGTTCCGGACGCCATCTTGACTGTGGGAATGGAGCCGGGTCTCCAGCCGGCTGCGATGACGCACGGCTCCGGGCGCGGTGCCGCGACGTGAAGCCACGCAGCGGCCATGTCAACTTTGGGCATGGTCCAGGCGTGGAAGCAGAGTTGACTGCTGCTGGGCTTGTGGTAGTCGGATGGAGGAGATCTAGGAAAAGTACTGAAGTCAGACTGCTGCCCTCACTGGACTTCGAAAGAGAGGTGGACAGAGCCGTGGCCGAGCCAGCCCTTCCTGGCACTTGAGGGGTGTTGCAAGATCCCGACTGCCTGGCTACCATCCCAGTGCCACACAGAGCCTGCTACCTTCTGCCAGCCCTGCCTTCCAGGCTGTGACTTGGGGTCCGGGGAAAACAGTGTTATCGGAATGACTTTTCTGGAAAAAAACTAGTCCACTGACCTCTCCATCATTCATTCATTCGTTCACTCTCAGTTATTCAACAAAGGGACTACTATGAGCCAGCCACTGGGAACACTACAAAGAAAGAAACTAACATGGTTTCTGCCTTTAATTCACACTCTTACTTTCAACCACCTCTAGGTTCCATGCGCAATGCCCAGCATGAACTAACGAAGATTCTTTACTCTTTAATTCGATGCCTTTGAAAAGTACCCGTATGCAAACCCAAGCTTGATTTAAAGATTTAAATCAAGGGTCACAGACACAACTGTGGGTCACGGCAGTGAACGGAGCCTCGTGGGGAGGAATGATCTGTTGACTTATTCATACTTCAAGAGACTGTCAGCGTTCCTGAAACAATAAAGAAGGTTAAGGACAGTGACAAACTGTAAATTCTCAGCTTCAGTTTTTTGTTCCCAAGTGAGAAGGAGGATCTGGTGTTGCCAGATCATCTGATCTGAAGGTGGGAATCGTATTTTTAAACATTGGCTCAATTTAAAAAAAGAAAGGGAAAGGAAGAGGAAGAAGTAGTGCAAAAGAAAAAAACACTATGTGTTGAAGGTGCTTCAGCCCCTATCCCACTGTATGTTTTGTTTGCTAGCAGAGCTAGCCTGGGTCCTGGTTACTACAGAAGACAGAAATTCAGGAAGAGAGAGCCCTTACCTTTTCAAAACACGAAGACTGGTGCCAGGTGCCAGTGGCTCATGCCTGTAATCCTACGTAATCCTAGCTACTCCTGAGGCTGAGATTTTAGGATTGATTAAAGTTGAAGTCAACAGGGACAGGAAAGTCCATGAGATTCTTATCTACAATTAACTACCTGGTTCACGTGATAGAGCACCAGCCTTGAGCAAAAATGCTAAGGAATAGTTAAGTATCCAATCCCTGAATTCAAGCTCCAGTATGGGGGGGGGGGGGGCGGGGGGAGGGGGGGGGGAGGGCAGGGGGAAGAGGAGAAGAAGGAAGGGAAGGAGGGACCAGCAGACACTGGTGGCTCATTCCTGTAATCCTAGCTTACTCAGGGGGCTTCAGAGCCCCCTTGCAGTTCAAAGCCAGCACAGGCAGGAAAGTCCATGGGATCCTTATCTCCCAGGAAACACCTAAAAACCAGAAGTGGAGCTGTGGCTCAAAGTAGTAGAGTGCTAGTCTTCAGCAAAAAAAAAAAAAAAAAAGCTCAGGAACAATGCCCAGGCCCTAAGTTTAAGTCCTACAAACCAACAACAACAAAAAAAAATAAATTAAGGGAGAAATCAGGGAAGAGAACATCCTTCACCTTTTAAAAACATGAAAAACACTTTGCACTCATTTCAGAGTAAATCACCTTTACTTCCTATCCCATAATAGTGTCCTAAGGTAATAGTGCTGGTGTGTTCTACATTGACCCAAACGACCTCCACTTTGTCCTGAGTGTCCAGTAGCTCACTGTATGGTGAAACTCCTCCCCTGGACCACAGGAAGAAAGCTATCAGGTCACTGAAGGAAAACACAGTGAATCTCAAACTACACATTCCAGGTCTTTGCCCAGTCCCAACACTCGGCAGTGAATACCTATCCCTGAATGCCTGCATCCGGCTAGTTGATCCTCTTCTGAAAAAGCTTCCCCTTGCTATTAGTATCACGGCTCCAGAAGGCAGCACTTGGGCAGGCTTTCTTGGTACTTCTCAGTGGTAACACTTGATCATATTTGTATTCAGTTTGCAATCTATCACCTTCACTTAAATGTAGGCTTGGGTCCAGAAGAACCCATTGGCTCATCATTGGATATGGACATCCTATCGGTGTTGTATTAAAGTGCCTTCTACTCTGCCCACAAGTAGCAGGCTGACAGTCATATTTTGATTGATATTTGATACTTGAAACATGAGAAAGAAATCTGCTGGTCGTAGATGACATATTGATGCGCTTTTCTTTGCAGGAGTGAAGGTGCATATGCACAGTTCTTTTGGCTATCCAACAGCTAAACCAGCTTCCTAGAGGAAGAGATGACGAGATTAAGGAAGAAAACTCACAGTCCCTTATGGAAACAGGGCAGGGGGTGGGGAGAAGTAGTCTCCTTCACAACCCTCTTAGCTACCATCCAGGAAAGGGAACTAAAAAAGGCCAAACTAGGTGTGCCCACCTGGACTTTGCCTCTGGAAGTACATGGGAGATAATGCAGCAAATTAGAGAATCTATTACTGGATCGATATGACTGGGTCCAGGACCTAGAAAGTTCTTGGTCTTATTAGAGGAAAATTTCAAAGATGAACACAGAGACAACTTAAAAAGGAACAGATTTACTAATGCAAAACAAAGTAGAAGTGCACCCTTCCAGAAGGGGAAGTGGATAAACTGGAGAAAGAGCCAAGTGCCTGTAGCTCTTACTTGTAATCCTAGCTACTTGGGAGGCTGAGATCTGAGGATGGCTGTCCAAAGGTAGCCTGGGCAGAAAAGTCTGTGAGACTCATATCTCCAACAAACTACTCAGAAAACAAACAAACAAACAGAAGTGTCATGTGGCTCAAATGGTAGAGAGTTAGCCTTAAGCTTAAAGAGGCTTGGGGACAGCATCTAGGTACTGAGTTCAAGCCCCAGGACTGGCGAAAGAGAAAGAAAAAAGAAGAAAGATCTTCCTCTTGGGCTTTTTTTTTTTTTTTTTGCCAGTCCTGGGACTTGAACAGTGTCCCTGAGCTTCTTTTGCTCATAGATGGCACTCTACCACTTGTACCCCTTCCAGCTTTTTCTATGTATGTGGTACTGAGGAACTGAACCAGGGCTTCATGCATGCGAGGCAAGCACTCTACCACTAAGCCACCTTCCCAGCCCATCTTGGGCTTCTTTTCTGCATGGCTCCCTTGTCTTCTGAGCTGAAGCTTCAGAAACATGAACCCAAATAATCTTTCCTTTATGAATTACCCAGTCTAGGTATTCCCTTACAGTAACAGGGAACAGTCTAAGATAGAATCTTGCCTTTTCCCACCCTTCACGACCAGCCAATGGTCTCAGCAACACTTCTAGGAATGCCTACCTTTCCCACTGATTTAAAAGTCTGTTTTATATAGATCCAGGGTTCAAAAAATTGTCCCTTGCCCATCAACCGACGAATTGGTAAAGGAACTATTGCACATATGCACACACCATGAAACAGTACTCAGCCATAAGGAAAAGTGAAATTATGTCCTTCATATTAAATTGGATGGAACTAGAAACTATCAAATAGAGCCAAGCTCCAACAGCTAAAAATATCACATGTTCTCACCCATCTAAAAGACATGCATATGCATAGATACATACATACACATATACACACACATAGTTGTAACTGTGGGACTGTTCGGGGAGATAATGAGAGGAAGGAAAGGGAAAGAGAATGATGAAGGAAATACATGTGTCTACATATGAAGATGGCATAAGGAAATTCACTAAAAGCTTTTGAAAAATAGGGCATGGGGAAATGGGAGAGAGAGCCAAGGAGGTTAATCAGACAAAAATATGACATATGCACATGTGAAATGCCATTGTGAAGCCCCTTTGTACAATTAATATACACTAAGAAATGACCGGAAGTGAAAAAGGCCCTGTTAGGAGGCAGGTATGCGGGGAGGGGGGAGGCGGGAGGAATGGAGAACTGTGATTGACAGTGGAGCGGGTGATAGATATGTATAAAAATCGACCAATAAAGCCTGTTGGGATTGTGGGAGTGGTATGGAAGGAGTGAGTTTGACCGGGATACATTATATGCAAGTATGGAAATGTCACAATGAAACCCATTCACTCCAATACTACCTTGAAACAAATACATGCCAATAAAAAGTTGCTAATATAAAAGACACCAAAAAATGTTCTATCTTACCATATGTCTCCATTTTCCAGAGTATTATTAGTTTAGATTATATTGAAATATTTGCTAGGTCAATATTTCCTAGTGCATTATTAGCTGTTGGTTTATTCTTTCAAATCTTTTCATCCTCTACCATTTAATTAGTATAGATCAGGGAAAATTGACACTGTCACAATATTTATCCTGTTATCTGAGACTAAAGGATGTCTTAAAAAATCATACAAAGGGTCAGGTGCTGGTGGCTCACACACATAATCTTAGCAAATCAGGAGGCTGAAATCTAAAGATTATGGTCCAAAGCCAGACTAGGCAGGAAAGTCCGTGAGACTCTTACCTTCAATTAACTACCGAGAAGACAGAGTAGAGCTGTGGACCAAGTGGTAGAATGCTAACCTTAAGCAAAATAGCTCAAGACAGTACCCAGACCCTAAGTTCAAGCCCCAGCATGGGCACACACACATTAAAAA